AACGACTTGTCACGTACCAGCAGGCCATCTTCTTTCCACGTACCCTCTTTCTGTACCTCTCACGCTGCTCCTTCGTCGCTTCTTCTGCAACCAGGCTTTCTCCTCCTTCCGATCACCATTTTGGGTTCGTCGTTGTCGAAGACGAGAGCGTCGTTGTCCGAGCTTTGGAATTAATTGTTAATTTCGTGGAAAATTATACCGTGCTACATGTACTGTAATAGTTATGTATGTAAATAATTAACTATGATATAGCAGATAACTATCGAACTATAGCAATTACTATACTGTATTAGAAACTATAAACTGTCAGGATGTATACACGTGTTAACTAAATATTGCGAATCTACGTGTATACTCTGTGAAGCAATTTTTCTCGACTCGAATAAAAAAGTTTAAATTCTAATGTTTTTCAGACTACTTAGTAGAACTGGATTTTATTTGAACTTGTCGAAGAACAAATGAGCTTGTAGTTCGTATATAATTTGACGATTTTGATAATTGATTTTTCAAGTTCAAGTAAATTATAAAAATCAAATTAATATCGGGCGTTGATCGAGCTCCGTTGCACCTCCCTTACAATTTACCATTGCATTACGTCACCTGTTCCAGCAATTGATAAATTCGCGATAAAGTCATTGGCAGCCTCGGCAAATTGAATATCGATCGGTACACTTGCGCAACGTGAGATTAAGAAACGAATGAAAGATAGAAGCTGATGGCGGCGCGCACGATCGCATGCAGGACGCCCACGAATAGACGTGTGTCGCAACGCACGGTGCGCCGCAGCGTCTCTGCGGCGTTTCTTCGTCGATCTCGGCTGGCCCTGCCTGATCGATCCTCTCCCCTTCTCGCGTGTACACGAGCGCGCACCGGGCTGATTTATCGACATGCCCTCGAATTACACGCCGCGGCCCGAGCCAGCTTTCACCAGCGCTCGACGACGGTGTCTTAGCTACCACCGCGTCTCTCCGCGAGCCTTTTGTTTCCTCCTCCAGCGAGAAAAGTTTCGACACACCGACTACCGATGTTGCCCTCGCAACAACGACGCACTAGACACCTTCTGACCTCCTGGCTCCAGCCTTAAACGCGTCAACTTTATCAGCTGCGAGACGTCTGTAAAAGTCAGGGTGGTTTTCAACGCGTGCGTTCGAGATCGTGATATCGTTGAAAAAAAGACGAGATTGTTTTGAAGAAAAATTACCAAATCATTTCACTAAAAATTCCTGTATAATTGCAGATTTATATATATTTGAAAGAAATATATTTATTTACAAAATAAATTATTGCAATGAAAATATCTATATCGGTAATTTGTAAAAATTCCCATATCGTTCGTTTATTCACCAACGCCAATTTAACGTTAATTATACATGAAATTTTTAATCAATATTTTTGACTTTTAAAAGAATCTTCCATATTATAAATGATATTAATTCGATTAATTGTATTATATTGATAAACGTTTTCATATTTGTTTGAGCGAATTCTAAGGAAAATCCAAGATATCTGAACGATCGCTTATCATTCGAACGCCGCGGTCCGTCGACCTCCATAATACACGGGACGCCATTCCACAAACTCGCGTACTAATTCCTCGCCACGCACTGAGGACCGTGTAACAATAAAGCATTACGATTAGACGCCGTGTTTCCGAGTTTGCGACACTGTTCGCCGGCTCGTAGGCGTCTCCCGTGCTGTATATATCGTCATCGAGCCTGATAAGTATCGTAGCAGACTATCGTGAACCAACCGATCCCCTCGTACACAAACTTCCAACCGTCGAATCTTTAATCGTATTTCAAGGCGCGATTCGTATCTGTCCGATGAATCTCACCCTTCTTCCATTGATCCGCCTCCAACCTTCCTTGCCGATTCGAACAGCGACGCCATTGTTCGAATTTTCCGAGATAGCTACGCGATGTTGTATCGTGAAACATTGCTCTGATTACAGGAAACAGGAAACAGTCGATGTTCACTGTATCAATATCGCAATTTCTCTTTTTATCCCCGTGAAATGTAAATCTCGTGACAAAAAAAAATTTAGAAATTAAAGGATGTGGAATGTTGAAAATTTATGGATGTTACGAATAGGATCTTTCCTTGTAATTTTGAATAAAATTCAAAAGTGCAAGTTCCACGATAAATATTTTTTTGAACGGAAAAATATTCGAAATTAATCGAATCGGTGTATTATGTTAGAAACAAAATTTTCGCGACTAAAAAGAATTTGTACTACAGAATTTTATTCTGCAAGTGTAAATTCTACGTGACGAGTAATTTCTGAT